TTAGTATGAATGTTTATTCAGTTTTGACAAAAATATTTAATGGTATAATAAATAAGTTAAGTAAATTGTAATTTGTAGGTATGTCATCATAATACAGTCTTTCTGGGCTTTAGCAAAAGCCAGTATCTGAAACGGATTTACAGAGGTTAGTTTTCCATCTCCAATATCAGTCGTACCAAAGTTTATGACACGAATGGTTGTCGTCTCGGCGTACTCAGTGATGAGATGTTCTGGTGTTTCCCCATTTTCCCCACAGAATCTGCATTCGCCGTTTTTTCTTGGCTTCAATCTACTGAGGTGTTTAATGAGGAGACAGTGTCCTGTTAAAAATTCCGTCACAATCCGAAGATTCATTATCATCATCATTTAGCTTTTACCGTCCACTGCTGAACAAAACCTCCCTTAACTCTAACCATTTCTTTCTATTTTGTGTCACTTGAATCCAGTTTCCAGCCACCTTCTTAATATCATCTGTCCATCAACTAGGAGATCGTCCTCTGCTTCTATAGGCCTCGTGTCTTGGTCTCCATTCCACAAGTCTCTTTGTCCACCGTCTATTTGTCACCCTAGCCATATGTCCTGCCCAATTCCATTTAAGATGTAAGACAGATATCACCGTATCTCTTACTTCTGTTCGATTGCGTATTGTATGATTGAGTATTTTATCTCTAAGTGTAACTCCCAACATGGACCTTTCCATTTTCCATTGCCTGGCCGGTATACTATGTATGTTCTTTCTTGTCAAAGTAAGTGTTTCAGCTCCATACGTGAGGACAGGCAAGACACACTGGTTAAAGATCTTTCTTCTTAAACATATGGGAAGATCAGATCTCAGTATATGCCTTAGTTTACCGAATGCCGCCCACGACAAACATGTTCTTCGTAGAATTTCGTGGGTCTGATTATCCCTTTTAATACCGATCTCATTCCCTAAGTATTTATATATGTCTATGCACTTGTTCCAAAGATATATTATTAATGTTTAAATTTCCACTCAGTACTAGGTTTGTCAGGTATTGTGTCTTTGATAACTTAATTTTCAAACCGACTTTTTCCGAAGCATCATTCAGCATATCCAGCATATTCTGTACCTCCTGTATGTTGTCTGTTATTAAAATAATATCATCTGCAAAACATTTTGAGATGATTTATCAATTCGCCATCGATGTTAATTCCTGTTGAATCCCAGTTTATCATTTTAACATACTTTCTAGCAGAGCAACGAATAGTTTAGGGGACAGTGTGTCGCCTTGTCTTACCCCTCGATCGACATTGAATTTGTCTGTGCATTGATTTGTCAATGATTGAGGAGTATCGATGATAGATGCAACTCTCACTTAGTGTCTCTAGAAGCTTCCACTGATCTACCGAAGGCATTCTCAAAATCCACGAAGACAAGCATTAGTAGTCTATTATACTCAATGCATTTCTCGATAAGGACCTTGACTGTTAGAAGACTGTGCGAAGATTCTTCTTACTCAAATCAAGGAAAAAGTCCTGAGAAATTTCTTCTTATCTTTTCCATTTTTGTCTGAATTTTTCCTTAATTTTGATCAAATAAGGTTTTCAAAAGATATTTGTGGTTTATCAATAGATTTTTTCCTCGAATATCGTAAATATTTATAAATTCATTATTCAGTGTTTTCCGTTTGAATTTTTATGTGATAATGCCCGAACTATTTCACCAATTTTCCTATTTACCAAATGATAGTGGTTCCGAGAATGACCGATACGGAATTAAACACATACACATTAACGGTTTTACATTAGTTAATAGCTTTACTGAACATTATTCAGCAGTAAAATAGAAAAAATAACTTTTGAAGGCCATTCTTACGTAGTTTAATAAGAAAAACATACACTGAAATCGCCAGCTGATTAACGCTATTTTCTCGGAAGAACATAATTTTCTTTAAAGCATCAAAATCGTATATAAATAGTTCCAATCTATTTATTTTGACACACCACAAACCTAAAAAAATACACCACAAATCCAAAATAAAAGACAAAACAATATGATTACAAAACTGCAGACTAAACATTTTTATTTCAATACTAAAACAAAGATATTATGTTATCAATAATATATTGAGCAACTTTTAATTACTTTTTTTTGTATTAATAAGCACTAAAAAATTGTTTAATTTCTTATTAGGCGGTATTTTTTCAAAATATCAAACAAATTTGCTTATGTAACTGTGATATTAATGTAACTATGATATATTTTATACGAGTTTTAACACAGAAAACACTGCGACCTGTAAGACTTGTTGTGTCTGTCCCCTTTGTATGTCTGCACCCAGTGTCCTTTATCTTTGTGCCCTGCACCAGCCTGTGCAGGTCCTTGATAGGATGGAAGCATAGTTCCTCCGGTTCAAGCCTTGCTTTCCCAAATAGAAAGTGGCGCTTATGATCCAGAGCCTTATTATGACATATTATGTGCTCTGCAGGCTCAGGATCTTTATCACAAAGACTGGAGCAAAGAGTTCCTTGATCTAGATTGAGGTTGTTCAGGTAGGTTTTCGGCCCAAATACTCCTATCCCTGTCCCTGCTTTGGTTTTGGAAGCATCAGTATACCACGTTATGGTATGGTCTTTTATATGCTGAGTAGGTACGCGTTTCTTCCTTCCAATCCTTTTTATTATCAATACTACAATGAGGTGTTTCTCAAAGTTGTAAATTCTTGGTATGATGAATATACAGAGAGCAGAGATTCATGACTCCCTTCATCCGTTGAAGCAAATGAGTTTAAAAAATGATCCCTGACTGAGCAAGCGCGATTTAACCACCCTATGATGTCGAAGCCCTTGGGATGTTACGTTAAATCATTTATTCTTTCGAACATCAAAAATACACGAACAAAACATCCAAAATTCAAGTTAATTATCACAAAAATTGCCTAAAAGAATGCCTAGTTTTATCTAAACTACACTCTTTCAGCACAAAACAAAATTATTTGGAATTCAAAACATTTAAAAATACTTTTTCATACCTGTAGTGTGATTAAAAAGTGATTTGGAATATTGGACTTAAAACTCACTTCAATTTTAAACTATTTTCTAACCTTTCTTACGTAATACTTTCATGTGTAAAGTCTGGTTACTGGGGAAAACCTGGTTTTATTACTGTTCCATACAAAACTAACACAAATTCAGGCCAAGATAACCTAAATAACGCGTTTGCAGGTATTTAAAGTATTTCAAACTTTAATGGGACACATTCCGAGACCCTAAATTAAATGTCTGTGTTGAACACCTGCTTTTTCAGGTAAAAACATTTTCGGATTAGATCGGGAAGTTTATATTTCTCTACAAAGTTCTGTATTATAGAGAATAACTTATCTGTCACCTTCCTTGATTATAACGGGGTACAAATATAAATTTTGATTTGCAAAACATAGAAACCCTACACCTGTTAGTACATTTTTATTATTACAGTTTATACATGTAAAGATGTTATAATCATTAGCTTATCCTAGGGAGAAGACAAATTAAGTTAATGAATGATCACAAATAAGTATTGTGTACCGAGACTGTAGGCATACCAAGGAATTCTTTAAAAGACAACCATTGTTACAAGAATTTCTGATATTTTATTAGGAAATAAGTGTGTTAAATTGGTATCCGATAGTACAAAAATTGCTTTCCATAGCAAGCCATATAACAGTTCAATTTCATATCATAGTTATGAAGTAGATCATCCCTTCGTATCACTGTCTTAGAATTTGGATAATGATTTGATTGACTGTTATATTTCCGATTATAATTATTTTTGATCATTCAATTTCTTCTTATGTATTAATCAGATCTTTGATTGGATTTGATACTAGTGCAGAAAGTTTAGTTTTGACTGAAAACCTTCTACACTAGCGTACAGTTTTAAGTAACGGTATCACAAAATGTTCTTTATTACGGACTGACTATCACAAACTCTTTCTTTATAGTCTTGCTGCAAAAATCATTGCATAAGTAAAACTGTGGATCGAGCTAAGATTACATTCAATCACATTAAAAAGAACATTCTGGACAATTTAGATGCACATAATATAGATTAGTGCTAGCATGAACAAAGTAGAGTCTAACAGAACATACAGTGAAACTCCTCTATCTCGAAATACTCTCTAACTCAATTATTTATTAAAAATTATATGTAAATAATTGAGTTTTTACAATCTGACTAGGTAAGTAATTTTATCTCTCGAATTTCTTTATCTCTAAAACTTGAACTGAAATTTAATTTTCGGTCCCTTAGAGATTCAAGTTAGTGGTAATTGTGACATTTATAGAAGAACCAATTTGAGATTATATTTTTTAATAGAATATACGGTAACATAGAAAATCCCATGCAAATTTTGACTCCAAATATATTGATTCCAAATATTGGCTCCCCTATTAATTTTACAGCTGTCAACAGTACTGTAAATAAGGTTTTTAAAGATCTACTTATGCTGAATACACATGCCAAATTTGAACAATTTTGGACTCTGTATCTATTTAAACTAAAAAAAAACTAAACTGCATTTATTAGGAAGTGTCTCTAGTAAAGATCTATTAAAAAAATGCAAAAAGACTTGTAATAGTCTTGCAACAAGACCAAGACAGGATCCTGCAGGGCCAAGACCAAGGAACTCTTGGTCTTGCATTTGCTTATCACTAATAGTCAGTTACTGATAGCGGCTAGACGTTTCTAGTAATATGGTCATTTTTTCAGCCTTTGATACAGTTCAAAGCACAATATCTATTACAGTTTTAACTTTCGTATTTTAAACAACTTTTTGTGTTACAACAGCAAAATAATAGTATTTTGGTACATTAGTGTCTTATTTTGCTAGAGTTTTATTTAAATGGGTCTATCTAGTAATAAAAGCGCTTCACAAAGAAGAAAAATATCACAAGAACCCGAGTTAGGGAAGTTTCACTGTATTCAGTTTAACACAAACATGAATGGACAAAAATGGTTAGTGTTAGTATGGCAGATGCAAAGGCACACGAATATCTACCTTGAGATCCACTTTGACGTAATAAGGGTCCAAATAAACAAAATCGAAATCACAAATTAATAAAAAGTCACTTCCGGAGCAGCTTCAGGTGCACATATCACAAAAATCCTTCACAGAATCTTTTTCTTCCGGATACTACGAGAAAAACAGACGTCACTAGACAACAAAAACGAAATAGCAGGTAAAACTTTGACGCGATATGAATTCCGCACGCAATCGGTTGTTTGTTTCCGTTTCGTTCTCGGTAACTGTGACAGAACTGACGTCAAATCTGTCACCTTACCTCGGCCAGCGTCCGTTCTCGACTGACTGACGCGCCGAGCGGCACTTGCCGCGCGCTCTGTTCCCGTGAGGAACAAGGGGTGGGGGGTGTGATGGATGGAGGACGGTGATGCGGGGGCCAGGCGGAGGGCGGTAGGACGCGCTCGCACGTACACACACGTGTGTGGGGGGCTGGCGGTGTTGCCGGTGTGGCGGCGCGGCCGGCCAGACCGGATCTACACTTGTGGAGTTTGAGATTTGGCCAGGGCGGGATTAGGGATAATTTTATTGGAGGATTCCCATTCCATGTTATGGATGGAGTCTTCCAGGTTCTTGAGTTCCACTATAAATTATGGTTTCGGTTCCAGTCGATATTGCGGACACTAAAAACGTTAAATTTTCCATACAGATCAGGTAGAAACTTCAAATATTAACACTTTACTACATTATATAGATGTGGATTGACCTAGTTTAAGCACAAAAATTAAATAAAACCTCTTTGTAAGTGTAAAAATTAAGAAAATACATGTATTTACAATATTCCGAGCTAGCAACCATTGACTTTTTGATTGACAGTTCATCGACGGTCTTCGCATGCTATTTGCGACATTGTCAATATAATTATTTTATATAATTTTCTACTGAAGTGAAGTTATGTTAGATATTCTTTTAGGGGTTCTGTGGTTTTGAATTTTTGGTTAGCTTTTCTTTGTGGAGGGTGTTAAGCTGTGGTTTTTATATTTTAATAATTAACTGTGATTTTGCAAAAATATAATTACATTGGTTAGCATTTGGGTTGCTTTGGTTAGCTTTTCTTTGCGAAGGGTGTTAAGCTGTGGTTTTTATATTTTAATAATTATAAATAAATATATACAGACGGGTCAAAGACCGCTGAAGGAACAGGGGCTGTCCTTTTCTTTGGGTAAATAATAATAATAGCTCCCGTATATAGCGTTTAACGCCTTGGGAGTAGCAAGGTACAGCTTGCCATACTAGAGCCGTTCGGTATACAAGGAAGGTAATGTGGCTAGCACTATGCTTCAACCGCCTATTATTACCTCAGGATTGTGAATCCTAAGTACCCATTTAAGGCTGGGTCGACCTAGGTACCCAAACTATTTTTATTTTATTAAAAATAGTCGGCTGATGAAATGCCGGCTGTAGGAATCGAACCCACAACCTTTAAATTGGTAGACGAAAGCTTACCTCTACGCTTTTTTTGGGTACTGTGCTGTTTACTTTGTGTATTCAAGCGTATTCCAAGCAGAAATCTTCGCTATTCTACAATGTGCAAGAGAAAACAACAAAAGATCTTATACATAAGCTCATCAAATATATATGCTCAGACAGTCAGGCGGTACTTGGGACGCTTATGAGCCGAAAAGTATTGCCGAGACGCGTCTGGAAATGCCTAGATGAACTGACAGGCTCTGGCACGAAGGAACAGAATTAAATTATTCTGTGTGCCGGGCCACAGTGGCATCCAAAGCAACGAAAAAGCCGCTGAGCTATAGTTAGGCAAGGATCATCCTATCTTAGTCCAGAGCCAGTACTGGAAATACCCAAATGTAAGGTCCGTAGTGCACTAAAACTCTGGATCAGGGAAAAGCAGAATGTCCACTGGAGGAATAGACACATGGCACAGGTAGGCAAGGCCTTTATCCAAGGACCTAGCTCTAAAACCACAAAAGAACTGCTAATGCTTAGCAGGAATAAAGTGCGGATTACAAGAGACCTCTTGACAGGACACATGTCTGTCAAGTGTTACCTGAACAAGCTCAACCTGCAGACTCTGCGATAAAGATCCTGAAACAGCGGAGCACATAATATGTCACTGCGAGGCTCTGGATCGCAACCGACACTTTTTATTTGAGAAAGCTAGGCTAGAACCGGAGGAACTATGCTCCCATCCTATCAAGGACCTGCGTAAGTTAGTGCAGGGTACAGGGATAGGAGAATGGATGCAGATATAAATAGGGGACAAATACAATTGGCCTCACAGGTCGCAGTGTTTCCGACAGAGGACGGCCCCTTGTTATTGGAAAAAAAGTCATGAGAAATTTCTTCGATCTTTTGCGCCTTACTTCTTTCTTCCTGCATGTCTTCTAATGTCCTAGTTATACCTTTGATTATCCCATCTTTTTAGATTTTTGGCGCTTCTCAGGTACTACTGTGTAATTTTACTGGTCCATCTTTCATTAGTTATGCTGTTTCGGAGACCTGTCATTGTTATTTGACAGGTTTAATTCGGTAAGTCACATCTGATACTTGAGTCTTTTCTTTTATCCATTTGTGGAATTGGAATATCCCTCTTTGGAATTGTAAGCATATATCGTCCCATTGACCTTTGTGCTATATGGAGCATCCTTAGAAACTCTTGAACCTTAGGAATATAATTATTATGAACGAAGTTTCGGAGCTGTATCGTACAGCAACCTGCTTTTGAATTATAATAACTATGATGAATAACAAAGAGTAATTGTCACTGTCAAATATTCTTTTGTGTGTCATATTATACTCGTAGATCAATTCCATATCAATTCCTCAAGGATCAAATAAGATTCACACTATATTTTATCTGTAATAATTATACTTTATAATCTGAACTAAATTTCTATAATAATAATTTTCATAATTAATAATTAATTAAACGAAAAATCAAAATATTTGTTAATATCTATTATTATTTTAATTACAATACCTACAATAAAAAAATATGTAATATTTTAAACAGTTTTTTTTGGTCATTCTATATAATTGAAAATAATTAACTACCAAAACAAACAGTTAAAATATAATTTTCGTAATCTTATAATAACTAGTAACGAAAAACAATTTACTTTTCCTTGTTAATTAAAATTAAAGTTATTACTCTTTATCGTTTTTCGAATAAGTCCAAAATAAGGGAGTCATTTTACTTTGAAAATTTCTAAAAAAAATGATTTTTTGCTAAAATTTTGAGAACCACTGGATCTTTTCTGGGTTTTCTTTCTTGTAAATTTAATCTAATACCTATGTTTCATATTATCAAGAAATTATGTTTGTTAACTAAAAACTCAAAAACAAATCCAAAAAATTTCGAATTTCCCAAATTTTTTTTTCGAGAAAAAAACCTCTTAGGCATGTTTCTGGGGCTGAACTATACTACCAGTTAAAATACTTGCTCTTTTTTCTGGGACAACCTGTATAAGGATTTGGCAAAATGCAAACATCAGATTTCCCTAACGAACTACAAAACATTTAAACGCGGATTGCTTCATGCAAAACAAAATTAAATCAAGATAAATTAAAATTAAAGGTTAGAATGATATAGATCCCGCGGAACTGGAACCTGGATGCAGGTCCATAAAGCTTGATGTAACCCCGGATCCGACTCTTTTAAAATACCGGATCTACCAATTTCTACTAGAGGTGAGAATTCTAGTTACTTGGGAGGAACTAGTTCCTTAGTTCTAGTTCCTCCAAAGGAATAGTTCCTTGAACTAGGTCTTTAGTTCACAATAGTTCCCGACTCACATTGATATCCCCATTGTTTGCTAATGAGTTTCGTTGTCAGTCAGAACTATTAACAGTACGATCTGTATAATTTTTATAATGAAGGAAATATAACGAGACGTGTAATTGCGTATAATAAAAACATATATGTAAGTTTTCTTGCAGATAAAAAAAGTTGAAAAAAAACTGAAATCAAAGTTTAAAAAACTATATCACAAATCAATTGGAGCTTGAAAAATTGTATCTTTCCTCACTTTTTGATTTTGTCTAAAAATTCAGAATATTTACTTCGTTTTATAAGATGTTTCTTAATTTTAGGAACCTAAAGTGAATTATTCCCATAAAATATTCAAAGAACAAACTAAAAATCCAAAACGGTATCCATGACAATTTTCTGTGGTAATTACGCCGGCTGTGGCAATAGACAAAACCGAATCCATCGTCGTCGCCTTGTATTAACTAGTTCCTTTCATTCCGGGGTCGGAATAGTTCATTGGAACTAGTTCGTTCACGAACTACACCTCTAATCTCTACTTAAAAGAAATAAAAAAGTACGTAATTAAATCTTAAATCCTCAATCCGTCCCTGTCCACCTATAGTCGAGGCATTTATTCGTTCCTAAACAGCAGTCGTTCGGGCTAGAGAAAGACGACGGATACAGCAGAAAAGGCGAGACTTCCTACAACAAACACCTAAAATCTGATCCGTTGTCGGCGGGAGATGGCTTTTTTTGGCACACAGTCAAGTTGACACACAGTGCAAGCGACATTCACCCGAGCGAAAAACGATCCTATCCGACTCAGACCGATCTCCAATCCACGGTGTATTAGGAATGGGCGTTTATATCGATAAAAATTTGACTAATAAAAGCAGAATGCAGAATGAAATGTATTTTGGCCATTTTTTAACTAATGTGCCTGATCAGTTTTTCAATTTTATTTTATATAAAAGATAAAATAAATCACCAATTTTAATTAAATAAATATCTTACATTATTTCAGAGTATTCGGGCATTTTTTCGGACATTCGACAATTCTTTTTTATTGGAAAAAAAATTCCAACTTTTCAAATAATTTTTTCTCGAAAAATCCTTTATAGATGTGTTTCTGGGGTCGAAATATACTACCTCTAAAAATAGTTGCAGTTATTTAAGACTCACCCGGAATATAAGTATTTTTGTTATTTTTTTACAACCGAGAAACAAATAAATGAAAAAAGATCAAGTAAAAAAAATATATAACCATGAAATTTTTTTTCTATATAGAACATAAACAAATATAGAGCTCTTTACAGGGAGTTTTGTTGCAACTTGACTAAATATCTCCAAAAAATCCTATATGGGTATTTCTCCAGTGCAAGAAAATCTACAAAATAAAATAGTTACTTTTTGTAAACACTTCTGCGTTAAACCCAAACGGAAACTACTTGTCAGCAGTAATACAAATTTGCCTAACAAACAAAAAAATGCTTAACGTTTCGGAAAGTTTATCTCTTTCCGTCGTCGGAAGCAAAAAACATACAAAGAATAAAGAAAAAAACTATTTAAAATATTTATGACTAAATATCTGTGTTGGGCTGGT